CAACATGTTAGTAACTTGCTAATAATGCTAACAATGTGTTAACCATGTTAGAAACATGCTAGTAACATGCTAATCATGCTAGTAACATGCTAATTGTTCTAGCAACATGCTAATCACGATAGAAACATGCTGATCATGCTAGCAACATGCTAGTAACATGCTAATCATGCTAAAACATGTTAGCAACATGATAGTCATGCTAGAAACAGCCTAGCAACCACCCCAGGTACCCTAGCAATATGTTTTATACCTATCTGTTTTTTTCTGATAGACTGTATTGCCTTGAAAACATTAAAACTTTAATCTTTAAAACTATTTTAACTTCCAAACTACTTCAAACTGAAAACTTTCAGACTGCAAGCTTTTAAAACTTTTTAAAACTTTCTAGCTAGGCTTTTTCAAGCCATTTTAAAGTTTGTTTCTAGTTATTATTGTTGTTGTTGTTGTGTCAATCAAAATTTTTTTTTTTTTAAGTATTTAAATTTTTTTTTTATTTATCAATAATTAATTAATGATTAATTGTTTATAATTAGCATATTTTGAATATTTGAAGGAAAAGTCTGGATTAAAAAAAAAACTTGTTTTGTGATTATTTCTACAGTATATGACGTTTAGATGAAAGGCATTTTTTTGTCCTTTATTCACCTGTAGTTCCTCATCTTAAAGGTCGACAAGGTCCTACAAAGGTGCTTCCTGAATTATTAATCAGCAAGCTTCATAGATCTGATTCATTGGCTCATGTGAACCACTATTACCATCAATGACAAGAGCTCTACCTTATATCTTCATTTCACCTGTTAAGCAGAAGCAACAAGACAGAAAAAAGTGGCTTTGAATCTTTGAAGGATCAAAACATTGCATGCAACAGAAAGAATATTTCTAGTGAATTTATCATATAAAATTGAGGAATGTCTAGAGACACTTCTAAGTGAAGGTGCAGTGAAAAGGTTAGTTATTTCAAAGGAAAAGAAGGAAAGATGCTGTTCCACTGAGACTGAAATAACAAACAGAACAAAAGGTTTCTGGACAAACAACTTTATTTTTGATTATGGGTCTATACACTGTACATCCTGACACTGCAGTATATAAGCCAAACAACTTTCAACTCTAATCTCATAGAGCTCTCTATCTTACATTATAGTCCATGTGAGGGGGAAAAGGGGACGTCTAAGAGGGAGAAATTGGCCAGATCCAAGTGTATAAGCGGCATCAGTAGTAGAAGAAAGCATACATTAATCTCTTACATAAAAATAATTTCAAGAGTTGCAAAGTTTATAGTATATTGTTATAGCAGCAGTGAAGGGCTAAGATGATATATCGGCATGGAAAAAAAAATAGAACAGATTGTTAACATAAGAATCTGAATGACTGATTCAACCAGAACTGATGTATTTGATATTTAGTTGAACGTAACAAAAAAAAAGTATTTACTGTAAAGATTTTGCTGAACATTGCTACCATTCTTTGTAGCATCCCCCCAAAAAATAAAATAAACAAATAAGGAAGGAAATAAGCGGAATAAAGGACTGAATATGCTTGCACTGGGAATACAACCTTTGAAATAATTGTTTTAAAAACATTTTCTTTCTTTTTTGTTTTTAAAAACACAACATAAAACATATAAGCTATTATGCAAGTTTTTTTTCTCATTCTGACAAAAAACAAAACAAAAACAAAGAAACACAATATACATTTATGATATATTTTTTGTAAAATGAAAAGAAAATGGCTATATACATTGGTGAAATTGTACTTTCATCATCAGACTGGCTAATCCTGCTCATTTATCAGTGACGTTATGTTATTATTGCTGTATTTTAGATCTTTTTTGTTAGCAAAAAATGGCTCCTTTAGAAAAAAAGTCTGCATTTTTAGTTTTATATTGGGAGCCTCTGTGATCAATTTCTCCCTTTTTCATAGAAAATCGCAAACAAAGTAAACTACACATATCAATTTGTGTGTAAAAACAACTACAAAACCTCATCGGAATTTTTTATTTTTTTTTGGTCTGTAAAAATGCACAGCCCCTTGCTACTGTTAAGACACTGAGCTTCTTATAGACCCCCGTTTAGTATCTTTACCATAGCCTGCAATGTACAGGTCAGGGCATATCATATAATTTCAAAGGCTCTTTTTACATCTATAGCAAAAGCAACCTCTTAAATATATTTTTTAATCCTTAAAAAAAAGAAAAGAGTTTATTTATTCCGATGTACATTTAAAAGCTATCTTAGTATAAGATTTAAATTCTTCTTTACCAGTGGCAATTGGAGCATTAAACTCTGCTATGCATTTTTCTTTTATTTAATTATTCATCGTTTTTTGAAGAAAACAAAAAACAAAGGAATACTGACAAACTGGCATTAAACCCTATCAAATAAGCTGTGGCTTGCTCTTAAGCAATGACAGTCAAGTTCATTCTGGCAAAACGGGGCGAGCCTAAGAGGCTCCCCCAAATCCCGCTCTCACCATCTGACCGCTGTCTGAAGCAGTTCAATGCACCTTACAGTCGGCCACCGTGGAAACGGGCTCAATAATTGTTCCTCTTCTGGAACCCCAAGGGCCCAAAGACAGGCACTTGAGGGTCTCCAGCATTGCATATGCACATAAGGTTTGTATTTAGCCCAAGAGTAATGCCGTTAATGTTGCGTTTAAGATTGTTAAGAGCTGAAATTTATTGTTAAGAGGGTTTTGTTTTCCTTTGTAGTTAAAAACAAGATTAAAATAGCTTTATATTGCATAACACAATAAAAAACTTACATATACAGTTTTAATGCCCAATAATGAATATACGAATGGCAGACTTGATCTTTTTCTTTTAAATTCCATGCATATGAAAGAAATTACATAAGCTTGCTATTAAAAGAAGGAACATAAGCAATAAAATATTCACACAATCTGAAAAATCATCCGTTATAACAACAACAAAATGAAGAGAGCCAAAAACGTAACATACATTCTGATTGCATTGTACCCAATGTATATAAATCACTTATAAAATATATGTATTTTCAACAAAATCTTTCTCTGCTAAGTGTGTGAGCATTTAAAGATGTATTTATTAAACCATCTAGACCTTCGTTCGTTCGTCAGCCATCCTCTTCTTGTTTTGTACACAGTAATACGCTCTTGCTCAGAGCCGAGAGGAGCACCTGCATTGATATTTAGACTCCCTTTTACCAATGCATGACAGTTTGTGTGTCCTATTCATTCCGAACGGTTTTAAATCTGATTCGGAAGCGTTCAAAACCTGTAGGAATCCAGGACAGTAACAATAACACTTTAGCAACGATTATAATCATATATAGATAACTATTATAAATGTTGAATTAAAGTCAGATTGAGGGAACTGCTGTGTGTGCCGTCCACATTTCAGCAAGCAAGCATGTAGAACCTTTTTTTTTTTTAATTCTTGCGGTTTTATTTACAATAGTTTGTCTTAAACACATGATTACATTGCATTTATTAGAACTGCATATAATTAACAAAATGTTTATTTCAATTGTATACTTAGGAATACTAAAAACTCTCTGAGATAAATGTGTGGGAGAGTGTGGGAGCGTAATGCATTTAGACAGTATTTTATAATGACAAAGTGCGATTCATTATTGTAAAGTAAAAAAAAAACAAAGCGAAAAGAAAAAAGAAACATTTTCATATTTACATATTATAATTTACTTAAAAAGAACAATTTGTGGTTCTTGATCACATGACACCTCCTGCCCTAGAAGGCGTGTTTTTTATGCTTTTAGTTTATTCCCAAAAACGTCTGCCCACGTTCTCAGCCGGGCCGGTTGTCAGCATCTCAGCCCACGGAGAAGCTGTACGCATGTGTGATGAGAAGAAACCCAAACCCTCACGGAGAGCAGGAGCCACAAACCTCCGATTCCACACTGACCACGATCTTAAGATTCGCCGACAGGTTTTGACCCTCAAGCGCACTCGTGGCGTTTCACACGACAGCTTGTGAGGGGAGCATTTGTTTGCCATTAAAAGAAAGTGCTCTGGCTTGATCATAACACTTACTTGAATACAAATATCTCTCCCTTTCAACAGGGCTGAACTTCTCCACCTCTAGCTCTCCAAAGCCCTTCAACGCTCTCCTGACCAGTATCTCTTTACCATTGTTAAAGATACAAGTGTGTGTAACCATTTGTCTCCATGTCTTCTTTTAACCAGCATAACATGTATGTACAAGTAAAAGGGGGTAAATCTGAGGCTTTGATAAGTCACTGAAGTTTTTATCTCATACACACTCACTAACAAGTCTCTTAAATAGCTTATTACAAAGTGATTTTTGTCTTAGCTCCTCAAAACGAGAGAGGAAATGATGGGATGATGATGAGTCCTTGTCCCTTCGATAACAACGTGGGCTGGACAGCATGCTTAAAAATTGCTGTGTAAAATTTTTCGTCATTATTACCAATGTTTTGTCATAGAAAAGTCTTCATTTCAAAATGTATTCAGTTTCAGGCACAGTTAGCTTTTGTGCTATTGGCTTCTTTCCGAATGGACTTGCATTTTTTTTTACATCTGGTTGGAGGCGAGGTGCATTTCAGTGCTCTCAAAATAAACCTTTTTCAAAAATGTGTCTAAATTTCATCAAAAAATGTTCAGGACACCTCCGGATTTGCGCTGGCTAAGAGGCAGGTGGGCGGGAGTTCACCCGCATGCTAGTTGACATGATTGGGCGGTTGGTGCTGTCAATCAGGGCGGTGTTGATGTGGATTGGGTGGAGTCAAGAAATAGAGGATTAGTTGGAGTCTTTGGCGGGTGGGGGTGGTGCGTCTGTGCCGTTCTTGCTGGGGCTTTTGGGCCAGAGCTGTTCCTGTAGCTCCTTGACCACTCTCTCCAGGTGCTCCCTTGCCTCCCTCTCTTGCATCAGATCGGCTCTCAGCTGCTCTCGGTCTGCCTCGGCGTGCTGCAACTTTACTTGCAGGTCTTCAATCTGAAAATGTACCATATAAAGATGATGAAAGATGAATAAAGTGGCCACAAATTAGAAGCAAATTGTGTAGTTTGACCAAATGCTACAGCGCTGTCTAAAGCGTATCACACTGTATTCCACATGTAGCATACAATGTATTACAATTTTCAGTGTGTGAGTCTGAAACACACAACTCTGACAGGAAGTTACCCTGTTTCCTTCTGAGAAATGAAACGTATCTCATCAGACTTGCGAGGCCAAACCCGGTCTGAGAGTTCATTTGAAAGTGTGTGTGGGTGGGGTGTCATGTTACATCAATCTAAGCATACCTTCGATTACTCTTCATTAAACAGACACTTGTTTATCCTGAGCCACTTCCAGTACATTTATAGCACAGGGACAGTCACTCTAGGAACAATCTGTGGTTTAGTGTCTTGCTCAAAGGCATAATAGCTCTAAATCACACCTTTGAACCCATGACCTTTCGGTTACTAGCCCAGATCTTTAAACGCTTCTCTTGGTAACAGCGTGTGTATGAATGTGATTGAATTAACCTGTGCAGAGTACTTGGCTCGCAGACGGCCGGCTTCACAGCCCTTGTCACACACTCGTAGCTGTCTGGCCTGCTCCAGCTCTCTCTTCAGCCGTATGCGTGACTCATTGGCCTCTCTCATTTTCCTCTCGCTTTCAGCACGCAGACGCTCAATTTCCTTGCGCAGGTTCCTCTTCGCCTCGGTTGCCTCACGGAGCTTCTCCTTCTTAGCAACACGGAGAAACTCCAGCTCCTGTGGAAGGCATGGGAATAAACTGATGATTACTCATTCTGAAATAAATGTGTGTGTGTGTATGAGAGAGAGAGAGAGAGAGAGAGAGAGAGAGAGAGAGAGAAATAATGGGACTTATGGAAACATGAATATAATGAATGTTTCTTTTACAAAAACACAAGTCCTATTTTAATGAAAACTGGTATGTTTTAGCCCATACTTGAACACCAAGTTGGTCTGGATTTTTCATGAATGAAGTTGCACTACATAGTTGAAAAGGGGTTGCACCCTATTCAGTTTCATTTATGTTTAGTATACTACTGCTAAAACAATTCAGTGTTGTTATTTTCAGAAAGATGGCAATACATATATGGAAAAATATATCGTGAAAAAAAAAAAATGTTTCATGAATCAGTGTCTGTGTGTGTGTGTGTACCTGCTGGAGGTTTCGTTTGGCCTGTAAGGCGGATCCCAGCTTCTCTTCCTGTTTTACCCTCATCTTCACTATCTCGTGTAGAAACTTTTCCTTCGACTCTTTTGAGTCCAGGCCATTGTCAAGTGCCTGCCTCAGCGTCTCCAGCTCTGACTCCAGGTTCGTCATGGCATGTCCCTCCGCTCCAGACACCAGAGGACCTTCTGGGGGCCCGCTGGCTGGCGTCAGAACTGCTGGTAAGGTGGCTCCAGGGCCGGAGGGAGAGCTCAAGTCCTTAGCAGAGCTCGAGGATGTAAAAGATGGGGAGGAGAGTGAGGAAAGCGATGAGGTGACTGAAAGAAAAGAAAAAAAAATCGAGAAGAGACATAATTAAGTGGTGGATCAGACAACGTGGGCTTCATTGGTTCGTATATCTGCCAGTTTTTTCAAGCACCTGTCAAACACACAAGATGCGCTTTAAAATGAGCCGTAGAGGATGAGGAACGAAAGAACCCTCATTGATTTTCTGCCGCATTCACACAAGAGCTGTTACTGTTCTAATCCACCTCTCTCCAGAACACTCAAGGTTGACTGAAAATGAACTGTGTGCAAATGAAGTGTGAACAAAATCTTAATGTATTTAAACGAGCACTTTTGTTTCACAACACAGCGACAAAATCAATGGTCGCTGTTAAAACACTCTAAAACATGAAAAATTATCCCAAACTGCTCGTCAAATACATTAAAGGAATGTAGCATTCCTTCATTTATTTTAAAGAAAATCATTTTGACTCGCCTCTTATTTTGTAAAAACTTGAGTAAGGCATTTTATGGACAATGTAACGTACAGTATTAATACTTGTGGTTTTACTGTCTAAACAGTGTGTATTTTGCGCCATAGACTTCCATTGTGACTACATTATTGTAAAACTATTTCTGATCATTTTCCAAATGAAAATTATTTTCTGTGATATTACATATTGTTTTTGTTTTTATAAATGATGTACTATTAGTTATATAAGAACAGTTTAAAATAACTATTTTAAAATGTCATTTATTCATGTGATGGCAAAGGTGAATTTTCATTAGTCATTACTTCAGTCTTTAGGGTCACATTTTCCTTCAGAAATCATTCTAATATGCTGATTTGGTGCTTAAGAAACATTTCTTATTATTGATTAATCTTGAAAATAGATGTGCTTTATTTGAAATAGACATACGTAAAAGTCACTTTTGATCAGCTGAATAAAAGTAGTAGCTGTAGTAACTGTCACTTTTGATCAAAGGTAGGTATCACAACAATATAATGTACAGCATGAAAGTCAAAATTAATTTTCTGCTGTCAAAAAAGCTTAACATGCTTTGAACCTGGAACATTCCTTTAATGAGGTGAAGTGACAGTGAAAAGGTGCGTCATGTACTCACATTCCTCACGGCTCTCCACTTCCACCTCCACATCCGAGTCTCGCTCCTCCTGTGATGGCGGCAGGGGCTTGCTGGCAGTGGCCGAGGGGCAGGGCTGTGGGCTGGGGTGGGTCTCACCCGTCAACCTTCTCTTCCTCCCCCGGCTGGCACCTTCGCTTTCCGCCCCATGTGGGTGTGAGCTGCTGGGTGCAGTAGGAGAGGCTTGCCCTCCTTTCTGGAGGGGTGTCAGAGCTACGTTGGGGGCCACGGCGCTCTCCAGGCTCTTGTAGTTGTAGAAGCTGCAGAAGAGGATTTGGAGTGAGTGAGCAGACCACATATGCAGTGATGCTAATTTTTAGTAACAGTTCACAAATGATGCACTACAGGCTGCTGTACGCTGTGCTTGTGTAATGGTGTTATCTAACATCATCTTAAAGAGTATGGGTGATTTAGAAGTGAATAATCCAAACCAAATGGCAGGTTGACAGAAAAAAAGCATCTCTGCAACCCACAAACGAAGGGTGGGGAGAGAACAATGACTGTTGCGAGCAGTTTCACAGAAACCAATCTGGGCTCGAAGCAGTGACTCACCCAAACCCTCTCTAGTTATGATGGTAAAGTTAAAACCACATATATCTAAGCAAACAATGGCCAACGGGCTTGCATCATGCTCCTCTGGACAGAAGATCCAAACCTTATGCTGATTTGCTTTAGAAAAACCACAACCCAGCATAACTAACAAGCTGGTTTACACTGGTTTCACAAACTTTGTGTACTATCTTTCGTAAAATGATTTCACTGGTTGATTTGGTTGTTTAGTGGTCATCCCAAAATAAATAAAACAATTCAGTGAATCAATTTGTTGTTAGATTGATTCATTTACATGAACCACCTGAACAAACAGATTTACTAAAATAAACCCACACAGTTTTCAAAAGAACTGAACTAATATGATGCAAGTATTGACCAATCAGAATCAAGTATTTCAGAGTGCCATGTAATATTTATTATTATTGTTGTTTACCTGTCACGTAACATGCTAGTAGGTCTGCTGCCTCCCTCCTTATCGCCAACAGAGATGTTTGGAGACCATGGCCTGAAGGCAGACGGTCTCTGTCTGGGCTGGATGCAGTTGAGCCCCTGCAGCAAGACAGAGATGTTAACAGAGGTCTACTGTGTTGCATACAAGTTTTTCACAGTAGAGAACAGAATCGAAATGCATTCTAACATGAACACAGAGAACAGAGACCATCTGCACAGAGAGCATGAAAAATATTTTTTACTTGCTGAAAGTCTCTTGAATTTAACAGACAAAGTGAGAGAGACAGATAAAACAAGCTTGAAGAATGACCAGAAGTACAAGTACAGTGAGGTCATTGTGTCTGCTTGAAATCGGAGAACTATGCAAGCCTATTTGCAGGCTCTCTTCATTTAGGAGAATTGATTTTTTTCAAAAGAACATCATCAGTTATTTTGGGTTGAGATCTTGTTTCAGAAGAATTTGATTCTCTGTGGCAAGAAAACAGTTGCTTGGCTCCAAAAATCTTCTTAGGAATGGACAAGTTTTGTACACAAACTCGTACGATATTAATACATAGATAAATATATAATTATCTGCACTCTGTACTCTCATACAACTAATCACATGTATCCACCAACAACAACAACAAAAAAGATTTGTAACCTTATTGGCTGATGCAGAGAGGGATCGTAGCCAATCAGGTTGCTTGTCTTTGTCTCCTGAGGGCGACTGTGCTGGAAAGTCATCGTGTTTGGACTTCTTGGCAGGAATGGGATCAGACGCCTAGAGAGGGAAGAAAAGAAAGCCAAAAAGAGAGAGAAACGATGAGTGTTGCTCAGTATGAAGAAAAATGAAGTCATCGTCGTTCTGATTTGTTACATTTCATGCATTCGCGTTCGGTTCAGTGCACATCGTACGGTCTAGTCAGGCGTTCAGATGCCCTACGGCCCTCTGTAAACTAGAGAACAGTAATAGCAGGATCGATTCAAGCAGTCGGTCACATTAAATGAGAGCCGCGCCAGAGGGTGCCTATCACTTCAGACAGAGCTGTGAACTGCAGGAGACAGGTGCAAAGGGAGCATATCTGAGGAGTAAAACTGCGAACGTTAAATTTAGTACGGGTGTTGACACTATGTGAGACTGCGTGTATGTATGCCGGAAGGAAAAGGTCGGATGTATTGTTCAGATGCTTAATAGGTTGAAAGAACCATCTGCTTTCATGCTGCCACGTGAACACGCGAGTGCAAATATACGCCAAGGCAGTATTTGTTTAATTCTGTCACTAATGGTTAAGCAATGACCTCACTCCTGCTGGATTCCTCATTGCAGTATAATCCCTAAAATACACTGTCCTTCCTTTTCTACACTCTCATTTACTCCAGAAAACCTGCGGTGTGTGCCACCCACACATTTCTCGCTTATTAACACAAGCCGCAGACGTTTAAATGCTAAAATAATGCACAACGACTGGACAAGCAGAATCAACCTCCTGCTATAAATCTGCACCAACTTTGTCTGGTGGACTTTGAGAGCCTGTGAGAGCTATTTTCGAGTAGGGCTTCTCGTGGGAATGTGAGAGGAACCCAGCTGACACACTGCAGCATCCCGGCCTAGTGCCCTAACTGGCCCGACAGCAGGGGCTTCTGGGTAAGATGCTTCCAACTGGGTTGCACGGTGTCTGGAAGGTTTGACACAGTTAAAGGTAAAGGTCTCTTTTTTTTCCAGTCAGAGATGCAAAATATTTAGTTTTTGAATAAACGCAGTGGGGGAGTCAATTACTTTCAGAGCGAAAAGAGGGTCATTCACGCAAAAGAATACGCTGATGGGCCGGTGCTGTTTGCATACATGAATGATTGCATCACGTATGACCTCATTCGGCAGACCGGTCTGCTTGGGCGTGGTGAATTTCCAGCAGCACAGCATGATTATACGACCCCGAAAACACTTGCCACGTGCCTGTGTTTATTCATGGATTAGACCTCTGACATAATGGCACCAAATCTGGGAGATCTTCCTTAATCTGGGCTAGAGAAGGCTGGAGGTTTCTGCATCCTAGTACATCAATTACATAGGGTGCTTACATACTAGAAAAAAGTTGGAGAATGAGATCCAAGCAGAAAAGCATAAGAGCCACTAGACCCAATTTTCATTAGTCAAAGGATAGAATACTTAACTTATTTAGACTATATATTAAACTATTATTAACGTTTTTGGACTATAACTTACACTTATATTGGACTATAACTTATAACTTACCCTTATACACACACACACATATAGAATAAAAAAATTATATATTATAAAAATATAAATAAAATAACTTACTTGTAGTATATTAAAACAGTTCAGTTTAGTTTTTATATTTTAATTTTATAATATACATTTTTAATTATAAATAGGATTTACATTTTTGTATATAAAATAAAAATAATAAAATATACACTATATATATATATATATATATATATATACATATATACATACATACACGCACACACTGTTTACTGTAGTGTAAAAAAAATCTAAATTAAAAACTAAACTGAATTGTTTTAAATGCAACTGAATAGACAAACAACATTATATAATTGTAACCAATGCACTGGCAGAATTCTAGACTCTAGTAAGCATCCTTATAAGATCATGCTAACTGCAGACGGTCAGATGACCATAGTCAGGCCACACTGCAGGAGAGAGGAAGTGACCAATAAATAACATGCTTGTAGCTTACTCTGGGTCTTCCAGTTGGACCCTTTGAGGTCCCTCTACAACACATCAGCCCACACCAGAACTCTGACATTTACTGACTGGTCAGTCACTCAGATAAATATATAAGTATATAAAAAGACGTCAAGTCAAACAGAAAAAATAAAAAAGCCAAGATTTGGATTTAATAGTGGACTACTACCTGACAACCACTAAAGTGTGCAGTTGAAGAAGGGCTGTAATTGAGACAGGGCCAGAGAAAGGCAGAGATCTTTAAATATTGCTACTATTTCTATCTTCTACTTTGTATATCAGAGTCTCTGTCTATCATTCTGTCGTTTTCACAGTCATTGCTTCCTCTTTTCTTCCTTTCATCTGATGCGCAGCAAAGTGGCCTCGTTTCAATGCCCCCCTTTTAAACTGGACCCCAGCTTCAATTCTCACATCAAACAATGTGCTTACGGGTATGAAAATGGCACCAACCCGTGCAGCATCTTAGTGTGTGTGTGTGTGTGTGTGTGTGTGTGTGTTGTATGTGACAGAAAGGATGCTGTAGACTGACATCCAAAGCACTGTGAGACATGCAGACAGGAAATCACACCTTTTGATATGAAGCAGGACAAAGCAGCATGCGAGAGACATACTTAGATGTGAGCTCAGCCCCGAAAAAAGCACAAAACGTGATCTCATTTTTGTCTTTCTGAGGAATCTCACACCTTGTTTTCGTCATGTTAATTCTGGCATTGGAAGACAGTGCATAGATGTCTTCAAACTGACTAAATAAGACAAACGCACACTAAAAACAGGAGTACACAGGATGGACAAGTTTCTGCAAAGCGGTTTAAAACTGCAGGTGTCTGAGGAAGGGTGGGGTGCCACACACACACACACACATTCTGCCTTGCACGTTGGTGTGAGAATGGAAGAAAGGTTTTTGCTAGAAGGTTTTTTGTTGCCCGCTTGAGGGATGACAGAGGAAATATGTTTCGAAGGGCTGAACACCCACACGAACGTTCACGTCTTGCCACATTACACACAATTAACCTACTAAACAAACTAATGAAGTTGCTAAATGTCTCCTGTCTCGTCGTCCTCATAATGCCACCCCTCCCAGTCTAGTCCTGTGTTTCCTGTGGCACAGATTGCAGGATTTCCCTCCTAAACAAGCAATTGCGTTCCAAACAAACATGACTGACAGAAACTTCCCGATGTGACGCTGGCAATGTAAACATCTTCCTATGGCCTCTCTGTGTTACTGCTTAAAAAAGTAATAAGCCAATAAGAATGTAAGTGATTTTACCACAGGTAAGGCACAATGTGAAGCCTAATATTTTTTAACATTAATATCAATTATATTATTTATATTTAAAATAGTATTAAAATCAATTAATACGTTTCTTTTTTTATTAATAGTTTTTTTAGACACTGTGTAAAGCGTAAGAAAAATACGAATACTATTTTCTTAGACTTCACGTTGTGTCTAAAATTAGTAATAAAACTATATTATTAAAAATGAATTTTAATTAATTAATATTTTGTACATTCATATTTTACCTCATGCCGTGACTAAAAATGAATAAAATAATATTATTATGATTATAAACTACTATTATTATAATTAATATGAATATTAGTATTAATATTTAAAACAAACAACTGAACTTTCCAAGTAATATAGTTCATTATAAAAAATACACATATTACAATTTCATTGATTAAATGTAAAATTTATTTAAAAAATTTTCTTAACACAAAATGTTTTAACATTGCTCATCTAATCAAACGATTAGATTCGTAAAACATCTGCTTTAGAATTTTTCGAGTTACTCAAATTCAAATCTAGTTATCGGAAAAGTTGTGATTTTAAGCCATAAAATATGGCTTGTTCCCGTCTGTGAAGTTCTCCACAGACAGGTTTGATTGATGAATGTTGCTATTTAACTGTGAGACAGGTTAAGACTATGAGACAGGTGTTTTTGAAGCTTGTGTGACAAGCTTATATATCCACGCAAGTGTGAATGCCAAAAGAGCAAACCAGTTTTCAGTTGTGTGAGCATCAGTGTGTGTAAGCGATACTCCACCCTCTCTCTGATCTGAACATGGCCTCCCCCTTGAGCTGAACTACAGGCCTCAGCCGGAAGGGAGGAACTTCCTGTAAAACTAGCAGAGCGCAGCTCTCCCTCTCTCCCTCCGTCTCTTGCAGTCTTCAAACGGGTTGTCATATTTCTCACCAGGCAGTGACCACAGAAACCTTAACCGTACAGGTGTCAGACAAAACATGACCAATATGGTCCACAATGTTGCATTTGAAAGAGTTTTTGTCCATACGTTGAGGTGATCAAAAGTGAAATCTCTCATTTAACTTCAATTAGAAAGACTGTCAATTCTAGGTATGAACTTTCTTTGCAACAAGCATCTCAAAGACGTATGCAAAAGCATTCGGGCTTCAAAGATGTTGTCGTGTGGGAATAATTCTTTCCAAAGGAATACGGTTCGACTGGTGGTAAACACGTGTTGTTCTGTGAGAAATCTGGGTTTTGGGGAGGTAGAGGTGTAAAGTCAAACTGAAACGAGTGGTTTTCTCTCTCGTGCGTTTGCTCTCTGGGCGAGTACCCAGCTCATTAGGAACGTGGTGTCTGTACCCCAGGCTGCTAGACAAAACACCTCCCTAACTATGCCAGCGAACACAAACAGATGTTTGCTGTTTTTCTCACTTTCTCAGATGTTTGTGAGACTCTGGTGATACTTTTACGTTTAATCGTGTTTGTTTACCTGTAGATTCAATCTACAGAGCATTCACACAGAATACGGTTTCAAATAGTATCATCATTCAAACTTTTTTTATTTTTATTTGTTTTTGCCGCTTATACCACATACTGTATATCAGTGTTGTTATTGTTAACAATAACCAAAAAGAAAATGAGAAAGTTTAAGCTAAAGTACTAAAATGAATAAAAAACAAAATAAAAATGAACTAAAAAAAAACCGAATAAAAATGTAATTACTAAAACTTAAATGAAAATTTGAAAAGTTGGCACCTAACTGAAATAGGTTTAAGCTGAAGTACTAAAATTAATAAA